TGCCATGTCACCAATTGGAAAGCCGCTCAATATGCTCAAGTCTGTGCCAGAACTCATCATTGTCGTTGCCGACGCCATGCGTGCTCACCGCGCTATTGTCGAGCATTGCCACATCCTGCACCGCGATGTTATGCCAGGAAACATTCTGTTCCAGCGCATGAATGATGGAACCGCCAAGGGTATGCTGGTTGACTTTGATCACGCAGTCAATTCCTCAAAGGGCCCTCATACTCCACATGATGAGCGCACAGGTACTCTCCCGTTTATGTGCATCCATGCCTTAGAGAGAAGCCAGCTCCCACGCACCGAGCTCGACGACTGGGAGACGCTGATTTATGTCTTAATTTGGATTGGGACATATGGCTTTAAAGGCGCAAATGGCCGGGCTGCTAAAATCAAGTATTGGGTTAGCGGCAAAACATTGGAGGACATCGCCAGCTACAAGCGCGGCGATTTGGACAGCAGTTCCAGTTTCAAATCTATCCTCAACCAGTTTGATAGTAGTGTGGATCGTATCAATGTTCTTGCAGGGTTGTTGATTATGATGCGCAATACTCTAATCGACAATGCAGGATGCAGCGAGGATGGCAGGGGCGCAAATATGAAACAGCCTTTTAACCATGGCAACTGTGAACCATCCGCCTCAAAAGGTACGCCCAGTTCACTTTCTCCATTATCCAAATTCGCATTTCCGGTTCAACAGCAAGATGCTATGAACACTTCAATGATTGATCCGTTTGAAGCGCGTGCTGACATAGCACCAACTATTGCCAAGGAACTATTGGCCATTTTGGAGAATGTCGCTGAGCGTTGCCGAGAATTATTGAACAAGGCAGGAACTGAGAGCAGCGAGTCAAGCACAGATGCTTAGTCATGTCATTTTATTATATTTTATATTACCTTAGTCATTTATCATTTCCATTTTCATCTAAATATCAACTATTCTTTTTAGCAATTGCCAATTTATTAATAGTAAAATATATCGTAACTTAATGGCAATATTGGATATGGAAAATTTTCAATGGCACGGGCAATTTGTAGATCTAATATGCATTTATTTATATAGCAAATACAATAAACTAGAAAACAATGTGAATCAATGAAAAAAGCTAACGTTTTCGGGTTGATGAGCACAGTTTAATGATGACCAAGGAATACGAATTCGATACAGCACAACGTGGGGTGAGGATGCGTTATCAGCTTTTATGACAGCAGCAGTTAAGCAGCACAGCATTTGCGCGTGTAACTGAGACAAAGGAAAAGGAAATTGTCATCGCTAAATGAATGGTTATTGATAACTGTGGGAGCAAGTGATGAGAGTGTCAACTGCCAGTGAAGCGTGCAGGTAGACAAGACAAGCAGGCATATGTGCATGCTTGAGTGAGCGGTCTTCCACTGCCAACCAAGGCAGAAGTGCACAACAGTCGCCGAATAAACGAAAGAGCAGCGATGGCAACGCGTAGTGCTAGAGTACGAGATGTCTGAGCAAGATGAGGTGAGCTCACAGGTTGCGAGTCGATCAGGATCCAATGTCGCTGAAGGCAAGAATGAAATGACACAAATGCGTGCGCGTGTCTGTTTGTGTACAAGAGAAAGAGAGGGACATGCACGTCATGCAGTGGCGATATCCATGGCTTATAGACGGCCGGTCACGATATATCCACTTAGTCCTAGGCTCCATCATCAATTTCCAAGTGTCTTCTTTGAGCAGCAACAAACCAGCACAGCGATAAACACTCACAAGGGCAAGGGTCAGTCAGGCACAAACATAGGTGCAAAAAGAGGCAGCCAGGCAAACAAGAAAAACAGAGCAAAGCCGAGAGAGACAAATAAAAGCATGAGAAAAACAAAAAAGACGCGAGAGACATGACAGGTAGGAATGAATGTGCGGAGCGTGACGCTCCCAATTGCTGACAAAGGCGGCAGGCGTGGGCCACAGCCTCACAAGTGGTAAAGCGGGCTGCGGTGACAGACATAGGCAGAGTAAAGTCAAATCAGGGTTGCAGCGCCAAAGAGCACAAGATGGACTCAACGTGGGCGTAGGTAGAGGAGGGGACAAAGGGCACACCACAATAGGCAAGCAACATCACGAAAACTGGAAGCGACACACTAGCAATGAGCAACGAGGCCAAAGGACGACAAAGTGACAAACACCAAGCGCACAGGCCACAAAGTACGGAATGGGCATGCAGGCGCAAACAACAGACAAGAAACAACAACAGCAAGCGTTCTCCGCATTGTCTGCCATTCGCACGGTCGGGGTGCAAAGCAAGCAGGCGATGCGAACAGTGGCAGAGAGCAATCAGGATCTGCCCGTAAAAGAGAGGCAGAGCAGATGTGAGACAAGTACGTGCAGTGTGAGCACTGAGCGAAAGAGATGGGTCTAGACGCGAGTGAACAAGATGACAATGCAGAGGTTGATCGAGAGCCGCTGGTTCCAGTTATGTTGGCACTTAGCAAAAACAAAATGAGAGAGAAGCCAAAACGAGAGCTGGGGCAGAGACTCAAGACCAGCCAGCTGTGTGCTGCTGCTGGTAGTGATGTTGCTTCTGCTGATACTGGCGCGTAGCTAAAGAGACACAGCGGCAGAGGGACCATGAGAGGCAAGATCGCAAGGATGGCATCAATGTGGAGTGAGACAAAACGACTATCAGTGCGGCAGAGCGAGCGGGTGTGAGGGAGCGGCGATAGAGTGAGACAAAGGTAGATTGGCAGTGTGCGCACGAGCGCGACAGAGAAAGCGCATCTCCACACGAGCGGTCTGGCGAGGGCAACAGTGGAGCAGCAAACAAACAAACGAAAACCCCGAAATTCGAGTGCACAAATTCAAAAAGCGTTAAAGTGAAAATAAAAGTGCCAAATGGGCAAAAGTTAAATGACTGAAAGAAAGAGGAAAGAGTGGCAGAGAGAAGGACAAAGCCCAAGCACTAAAATAGGAGTAAATGGGATTACAGCAAGAAGTGAAGAGAAAAGGCCATTTGAAGGAATACTTGTGCGCCTCTAACGCCAAGAACAGCGACAGAAATGCAAAAAAATAAAACAAGAATAGAAAAGGAAGAGTCGACCACAGAAGGTTTTTGGCGACCATATATCTACACGGCAACTCGCTGCGTTTTTGACTCGTACGGCAGGCAGAAGGGCCAGCCACAGCAGATAAAATAAGCTGCTTGCAATACAACTGCTTGCAAGATCCAAAAAGAATAATAAGTGTAAATAAAAGACAAGCGCTGAATATTCGTTTGCCAAATGTAAACAAAAACTAAAATATTTACCAGTTTTGGACACAGTACCTTAATGTGATTATTATTATAAAAACCCAATGAAACACATTAAACGAGTAATCCACAATAATTCCCTTGCAATGGGCGGCGGAGCTGTGTTTATAGCTATCGAGGGGACAGTGGTGGTGGTTTCCGAATGTGAGGGATTGTGTCGTGCGCGGTAGTTGAGGCGGCTGTCCTGAATTAGTGTTGCGGAACGCGAAGATTAAAATATTTACCATTGATTCTGTTTGTATTTTGTTATTGCAAATCATCACGCGCATAACTGTTTCTCTTCTTTTTTCCTTTTTCCTCTCCGTTCAAATTCTTTTGATATATTTTCAATAGTTACACGCTTCGCAAACCAGAATCACCTTCTTGTTTAATTCACACTTATATTCTAAACATGCCGACAAAGAGAGTCCGTCAAAACGACTGTGCGCAGCCAGTTACCGCAAAGCGGCAGAGGCGACAGATGAACGCTTCTCAGCCAACAAACACAAAGAGAAAGGCTGCCGCGGTCTCCAAGCAGGCACCGTCAGGCAAGAGAGCAAGGAAAAACGCGGATACTGCTGCTAACGCCGCGCAGCCGCAAAACAACAGAAAACACGTGTACAAGAAGAAAGCAGCCCCACGCCAGAAAAAAGCCCAGCTTGTGCCTATTACGCCGTCCGATAGTAAGTGTTTGTTTTATTTGCAGACAGTTGCGTATGCCGACACATATTCTTGCGGCCAGCGTAAGGTGCTTTGGTGCGCTCACAGCATACTAACAGCATTTTACTATTCTTAAATTGTTTTGTAGGCAGCAACACAAAAGAAGGCAATCCAGCTGGTGACAAGCAGGCCGACACAGCACCCGGCTCTTGTCTCAGCAGTGCCCACGTTGATGCCAAGCCCAGCTCGTCGGAAAGACAAAAGATGCTTGAGCGTATGGAGCCGGCTATGCGCGAGTTAAAGCGACACCTCAGCGGACCACATCCCAGCGTCGTCAAACTGGCAGCACCAGTGGCTGCGGAATACAAGCAGAGGGCGGCCACGGTTGCTGATATTGTTTACCGGGCCATGGGGCAGCTTTCATCTGGCTCCAAGCACACGCCGGCTGGCGACCTGGCTATTATAGAAGAGCTCATCAACGCCGACTCGGTCTGGCCCGTTCGGCTAGCTCGCTCGAACTACGCCGCCATTGATTATTTGGCGAGCAGGCTCAGGCAGGACTACGATGCGCTTTCCAGGTGGACAGGCGCACACACATCTGGCGGCCACAGCAGCAGCATTGGCGACGTAAGCAAGGGTGCCGAGTCATTTACCTCGTTCGTATCTCGTATTATTCAGGGGCTGCATCAGCATGCCAAGGGAGGGCAAGGACGCCCCGAGCCACGCCGGGTGCTCATTCCGTCCATTGCGCCAGTCAGCATTACAGATACTAGAGAAGAGTGCACCCGCCAGACCACTGTTCGGATTGGCTTGGGAATCGACTCTACGCTGGCCACTGTCGCTACGACCGACAGCTCCGAGGCAACGTTGGACGGCAATGTAGACGCAATCGACAACAACGACGAGTGGTACGCCGGTCTGTTTGCCGCCATCGAGGTCGGGCAAGGCTTGTCGTCGGGTGACGTGGACGATGCCGCGTTGCAGCTGTCTAAGCACTGTCGCCGCATTTATCGCGCGCAGCCCAACCGGCGCTTTGTGTGGGGCCTGACTATTTGCGGCAGCTCTGTCCGGGCATACTTGTTTGGATGCAACTTTGTTCTGGTCTCTGAAGCCATGGACATTTGCACCGAGGCGGGCCGCGGCGAGGTCATCAAGCTGTTTGTTAATTTGTTCTTTAGCGAGGACCACCGGCTGGGTTTCGACCCAAGCATTAAGCACTTGCATGACCTCGACTGTTGGGAGATTACGGTTCCCAGAACAGTTGCCACGGACAGCACTGATGGCACGGACAACAGCGGTGGCAATGCCAGTTCTTATGGATCTATTGGATCTACTGAACGCACATTCTACAGTAGCCACATATTAACTGAGGCTAGTCATTTGTTTGGGCGGCTCACGCGGTGCTTTTTAGCAACGGATAAGAAGCCAACCAGAGACAGTCGCATCAGAAGCAAGGACTGCACCGTTTTTATCAAGGACGCTTGGACCGAGGTGGCTGATGGAAGTGGTATCAATGACGTGCGCGACGAGGTTGCCCATTTGCGCAAGATCACCCGGATACTCGAGTGCTATCCAGAGCTTGCGGGCACATATCCAGTCCTCGAAGCCGGCGGTCGCATTAAATTCCAGAGTTGCAGCAGCAATACATGTACTGAGGACACGACGCCCAGCATTCTTGGGGACCTATTTGACAATGTCACAGTCGGCGAGAAGATTCGGAAGCTGCCATTTTGTGCACACAAGCGCATTGCCACGTCGCCGATTGGCATGCCACTTGATAAGCTCCAGTCTGTCCCTGAGCTGATCATCGCTGTTGCTGATGCTATGCGCGCTCACCACGCCATTGCCGAGCACTGTAATATATTGCACCGTGATATCTCAGCAGGCAACTTTCTTTTCCAGCGTATGGTGGATGGCACCGTCAAGGGCATGTTGATTGATTTTGACCATGCAATCGACTGCGAGAATCTGGACATGATGCCACAAAACGAGCATATCGGCACACCGAATTTCATGAGCGTGAACAACCTCGAGGGCAACAACAACAGGCGTACCGAGCTTGACGACTGGGAGGCACTGATTTATGTCTTGGTGTGGCTCGGGACATTTGGGCTCAATGGCACGCCTAAACATGACAGTGACGCAGATGAGCACAGAAGGATTGCAGCTGCTAAAATCAAGTATTGGGTTGACGGCACAACATTGAAGGACATTGCCAGCTACAAGCGTGGCGATTTGGACAGCAGTTCCAGTTTTAAATCTATCCTCAACCAGTTTGATATTAGGGTGGATTATATCAATGTTCTTGCAGGGTTGTTGAGCATGATGCGCAATATTCTAATCGACAATGCGGGATGCAGTGAGAATGGCAGGGGTGCAAATATGAAACAGCCTTTTAACCATGGCAACTGTGAATCATCCGCCTCAAAAGTCACGCCCAGTTCACTTTCTTCGTCATCCATATTTGCATTGTTGGTTGAATGGCAAGAAGCTATGGACACTCCAATGATCGATCCGTTTAAGGTGCGTGCTGACATGGCACCAACTATTGCCAAAGAGCTGTTGGCCATGTTGGAGGATGCTGCTGAGTGTTGCCGAGAATTATTGAACAAGACAGGAACTGAGAGCAGCGAGCCAAACGCGATGAACTAGCTAATTTGTTTATTTTTAGGGAGGTTAATTTTGAAATATATTTTTTACATATTTACTATAAATTATTTACATTCAAATACTAATGCTAAATTGAAACGTGCACATGAAATATAAAATATTTAATAGTAAATGCGATAAACTATATATTAGAGAAAATAATGGCTACAGCTGTTGGGCAGCCCGAGGACATGGAAGTGGATGTCGAGGTTGAGAATCGTGAATTGAGCCTCTATCCGCATGCCAATTGATAGGGTGCAGATGGTACCATGTGGGAGCAAGTCAGGGGACATAATAATGACACACGGATATGCTCCCCATTCTACAATGTACATGCGTTAACGCGCTTACGTGAAGATCACAACATTGGCATGCCAATATATTGGTCTGCTTGCAGAAGAACCAGTTCTCGCCAATGGAGTGTACAATTCAAGAAGTGCAAAACAAAGGCAACAAGATACATATATAAGACAAGTCTGGTCCTTGTTCTACTTTTGATTCTCTTGATAATAAAAAGTATACTTGTAACATTAGGTGACTAATATTTCCCTCAAATCACAACAAACGCAAAAAATATTTTTTATTTGGCTAATTTGTCCATCTGTCCATTTGCTCAGCTCATTAGAAAACAAAAAATTGTTTGGAATCACAATAAGTGTAATAAATAAAACATGTTCACATATTTTATATTTTGTATTCTTTGTCCACTTGCTGGTGCAATATATTTACAATACTAAGAGCCGCACAAATTGACAGCTAAAAATTTAATTTTGCTATGACTTAAACATGCTAGCTTAGCTTGAAGATGTCACAAGCTAGACAAATGGTAAAAAGTAAAACTACTCACCCGGCAGCCAAAGTTACCAAGGTTTTTACTGAGCTAAAAGTAGTACATTAATTTGTAGAGTAGGACAAAATGGCAAGCGTTGTAAATATAAAAATAATAAGTGCAAATAAATTAAAATAGACAAGCATTACACGGGGGAAAATAAATGTGCTGGCTTTAAGTGAATTGTACGAGAATATGTATTGATGAACTTTGAATTTTGTTTGCCAATACATATGAATCCCCATTTTTTAAAATATATCTAGCTATAAATTTACCAATCTACTATATCATAATATTTATAAAAGAAAAGTATAAATCCTAAGTA